CTCTGGGGGCGTGAGAGAACAGGATGTTGGAGAACCTTAAAAGAGCCATTGCTCACGACCCTGTCTGTGCAGCCAGTCCCCTCCCTGTGTGCTCCCCACCACACATCACAGAGCCACCAGTCCCATCCCCTTCTGTCCTGCAGAACCGCAGGGGAGAGGAAGGGGACCTGCTGGCTGAGGGAAGCTGCAGGTCGGTCTCGCCTCAGGCAGGATGGCCAAGGGCTTTGGGGCAGCCGGCGGCTGGTCCCCATCATTGATTTCATGTCCCCTTACCAGTGTGAGAGCAGGGCCCAGTCACCCCCAATCGTTGCCTCCACATCTAGTGAAATGAGCAGATACTCATCTCTCACCCACCCTGAAGCTGACTGAGGGGCTCCCAGCAGTTGCCGGACGTAGCAGTGGTGTCCACAGCAGCCCTGCATGTGGCCCTGTGACAGCGACAGTCATGACGAAGCAGCCAAGTGTGCTTTATGGGTGTCATTGCTTAGAGCTTTTATTCTCCCCATGAGAAGCTTCTGACGTTACACAGTATTCACATTGTCCTGATATAATTGTGTTTTGACAACAGCGACACTTGTAAGTAGCTGAACCCTGTGCAGGCCCTGAAAGAGCCCAGACAGGGAGGCCGTGGTGCCACTGCGCCCTGCCCGGCCCGCGTGTGTGGGCGCAGCTGCAGCCGCCCCGCAGGACGCCTGTCAGGCCCTGAGCCCGAAGTCCTAGGACAGACACCCTGATCCTAGACCCGTAGACTGAGCCCTGACGGCAGCTGGCGCACGGCCATCAGGACAGGCAGTGCTGGGCAACCCTGGGTGGCAGAGCAGGCTGCTCGCAGCCTGCCAGCCGGGGCTGGGCTGTGTCCGGGGCTGCACGCTCCCTTCTAGAGAGTTTGCACCTGTGAGGGACTGGCTGGAGGAGACTTTCTGGGTATTGATAGAAAGCATCCTCCATACCGAGCCAGGGCACCGCGGGGTGGCCGGAGGAGCCTGACATCCTTGGTCGCAGCCGCAGAGGCACTCAGATGCCAGTGGCCGGGCTCTGCACGCAGCATGACGGTCGCGCTGCACCATGGCTCTTTCTCCTTCCGTCGTCTCAGTGTGGGAAGACCGTGGAAGAATCCTAGGCCTGGGTTTCATTTTACACTTTGATGGCACCTGAGGAAAGAACTGGGGCTCTGTGTCCCCAGAGTCTATGCTGATTCCAGCTTCTGGGCGCTAAGACTGTTGTCCCTGAGGCAGGAGGCCGGGGGAGCATGGCAGATATATCCTTTCTCCATCCACCCCAATCACAAGGATGATGTCGCCTCTCATTTCCTTCAAACCGAAAGAGAGCCATCAAGGAGGTTATCAAGACATTTGGTGGGAGAGTTTCTTAGGCATAGTTCTTTCTCCCTATGGACAACACATTAACCAAGACATAATAGGACACAATAGGACAAATTGCTGAAGATATTGCAAAAAAACACCACAGCACAACAATGGTCCCTAAACTCCCTGGCCCAAGTAGTACCAGAAAACAGAATTGCATTAGACTTCCTCCATGCCCTACTACGATATCACCTGCTATACTTACATCAACACCTCATGCGAGGTGTTGCATTATATCAACTGGATAGATATGTCATTTGCAAAGCAGCAATGCACAGGGTGTAAGTGCTGCATTGTATCAACTGGACAGATATGTAATTTGCATAGTTACAATGTGCAGGGTGCAAGTGCATAGAAAGAAAAATGTTAACAAATGTACAAAGACCCCTGTTACTACCTCTCCAATGACAAACAGGATATTTCAGTCATACTACTCTGCAATCGATACCCCACCCCACTGCCAATACACAGAACTTACCCTTCTCCTTTTAATGTAATTCCATTTTAGAGTTATGTCGACCTTCATGTCTCATTGACCCAATTTGCTGTGCCTATTCTTCAAGATTTCTGCTTCAATTACAAACCAATCCTTCCTGTGTCCCACTACTTTCAATTATATGCAAAAATAGAACAAAATGAGAGAAAGCTATGCATATTTCATTATTAATGGCCATCGTCATACTTAACATTCAACTTATCCTATTTTCTTCCAGATTTTCAACCTTTCTTTAGTAGACGTACTCCCATGATACAAAGGAGAAAACAAGTTCTGAGAGGTTACCTGACTTGCCAAAGGGAATAGGAAAAGGGAACTATGGGTTGAAGTGAGCTACTGCTCAAAGCAAAGTCTAAGTTCTTTAGCCATCATTTCTCTGAAATCCACTCTATTCACCTTAAACTCGTGTGTAAACTTGCACATCTGACTCTACCACATTCTTAGTGGCTTCTCGTGGACTCCTCCCTAGAGGTGTGCGCCTCCTTTTATGACACCTTCAGCAAAGGAGGCAGAAGGATTTGAAAAGACATAAATGATCACAGAACAGGCCTAGCAACATATTCATAAACTGATGGAAATCCCTGTCTACTGCATAGAAGTAAAAAGAATACAAGATGTGGAGGCTAGGAATAACAATTTCAGCACAGCCTATGTTGTAGGGAGCAGACGCCAGCAAACTGTGGCCTACACTGGATATCTTGCAGGGAGCAGAGGCCAGCAAACTGTGGCCCTCTGGCTGGATGTGTCCTGCTGCCTGTTTCTGCAAATAAAGTTAATTTGGAACACAATCACACACTTTCCTTCCCTAATGTCAATGGCTGCCTTCCTGCCACAATGGAAGAACTGAGTAGTGGCAAAAGGGGGCGCGCGGCCACCGGTCAGCCGCGAGCGCGGCGCTGCTTTCGCTGCGCACCAACGGCCAGCAGAGGGCGCGCGGCTCGCCTTCAGCGCGGCGGGGCGGGTCCCGGTCCCAGCGACCGTTTGGGTCGCTCTGAGCTGTTGTCGCGGCAGGTCCAGGGCATGGGAGCCGCCCGGGATGCGCCAAGAGTGAGTAAAAAGTTCTAGAACAGTCTCCACTATTTCTCGTCGCACTGACAGGGTCTAGCAGCAGAAACACAGGAGGAGCAAAGGCAGGATGCGTGTGCAGGTCTCGGTCTCAAAGACCAGTCTCCATTGAGGGGAACCGGGTCTCCGGGGAGAAATGACAGACTGTGGGGCTGTGCCAGGGAGTGTATCAGATGAGCCCGGTGCAGAGGAAGGAGGAGAGCGCTCACCAGCCCACGGGGACGTGGCCAGAGGCGGCCCGA